TTTTTTTTTTTTTTTTTTTTTTTTTTTTTGCCAGCCATTGCCAATGTCAATCAATCACAGTATTAGCCTCTGTTAATCTATTTACTGTTGCTTCCATATACACTCTTCAATGCATATGTTGCTCAAAGGTGGCAAGTTGTCCTGGGTTCTGAGAGTCCTGAGATGGATTTAATTCTTGGTGCTGGTGCTAGAAGTAGGTCTTCAAATATGGGATTGTTGGCCCACCCCTGTACTGTACTCCCAGTGGCCAAACTTATTTATGCTGCTAAATGAAAGAAAGAAAAAAGCAAATTATTTTTTTTTATTTTTTTTCTGCTGTGACGTTTTAGTCCCAGACTGAATTCCAAATTTGCTCTAGTTTGGTTACAGAAAAAAGACTTTTTGCCACTGAAACTTGAACCATCTGTGCCTCTAAGAGGCTGAGAATGGAAGAGTTTCAGATAATAAAGAGTGAAGTTTGCCTGCAAGTAAAGAATCGAGAGTGTGTGCAAAGCTTATTTTCTTTTATCTGGGCAAAAAAATTAAAACACATTCCTTGGAACAGAGCTTTAACCGCCTGTTCTGTGGAGAAACTTTTCTTTTTGAGGGCTGTGGTGAATGGATGAACATACATAGTAAAACTGACAAAATATTTTAAAAATATATAAAACAAAATTAAAGTTGCTGGTCAGTCTTAGCATTTTACAGTATTTGGGAAAACAACTGTTACAGTTTTCTTGCTCTGAGTAACTGACAAGAAAGGAGCGATTCAGTCTCTGTAGTGAAGGCATCACACGCAAACCAGCGCGGGAACGGAAGTCAGATGGTTCGCCTCATTCTCCAGGAGCCACAACTCAAGCTGAACTGTGAAAGTGGTTTAACACTGTATCCTAGGCGGTCTTTTTTCCTCCTCCTGTTTTTTTTTCTGTTGTTGTTTGTTTGTTTTTATTTATAGTCTGATTTAAAACAATCAGATTCAAGTTGGTTAATTTTAGTTATGTAACAACCTGACATGATGGAGGAAAACAACCTTTAAAGGGATTGTGTCTATGGTTTGATTCACTTAGAAATTTTATTTTCTTATAACTTAAGTGCAATAAAATGTGTTTTTTCATGTTAGTATGCCTGTTTCTTCCACGAGGTAACACTATTTCATTGTAAATATTTAGAGTTTGTCTCTAATATTTAAAATATTGATTTCTTCACATTCCCTGTGTTGTGACATAGAGATCAGTACTTCCAAGCCTGTTTAATGCAGCTTAAGTCAAAGTGGTTGCTGCAAATGTGAATTCTGTTTATCTCCTAGAACTATAAAGGAGGACATGTCACTGAGCCTGTCTCTGTATATTGCCTTGGGGTGGATGAATTGTGGTTCCCTCAGAGAGTCACGAAATCATTTGATAATTACAATTAGAAGTCCTACAAATGCTGTTTATCTAAAACTTGCCCATATATTCAGTGCTCACCAAAGGTTTGCTATGCATTCTTTCTCAAGCTACTAAAACTTAGGTACTAATATCTACATTTTAGCTCAGATTGAGTAGGTTATTTATCAATCAGATAACCAAGATTCAGTGCCAAGATTCAAACCTGTGTTTCTAAGGACTAGATAATGCTGCCCTTTAAGAAACTTTTATAAACTAAAACAAGATTTGGGAGTGGCAGCGTGTCCTTTTTGTGGTGCTTTCAGATGTCATTTTGTTCAATAAATCCATTAAAGGGGAGAAAGCAAAGTTCATTTATTGAAACTGTGTATTTAGTCACCGAATAGCAGGGTGGAGGGTAGACAGGTAGACCAACAGATCTACAGTAATCTCAGCCAGGCCATAGACAAAAATCCCAAAGTGGATAGAAATGGACACTCCTGAGAATGAGACTTTCACAGTCCTGAGCCTCTGCTTCCCTTGTAGGGGCTTGGAGTGTGTCCCAAGAACCTGACTTTAAGCAGCCTCGCCAAGACCATTCTGGGCACTGATTTTGAAAACCACCACCTTCAATTACACTCTTAAGTGCTTTGGTTATTTGGTTTATTAGGCCTCAGCAAATTCAAGCACAAGAACAGCAGGAAAAAGTGACAGTGAAAGAAATGACTGAAAAACGACGTGAAAAACTAGGCAAATGTCATACTATCCGGGCCATGAGTGCAGGAAGGAGCTGCTCACGCCTGCTTTAGAGAAAACAGCACAGCTGCCCAGAGTCATGACTACTGTGCACATTGACAACTCTGAGTTGGCAAGAAAAGGTGTGATTTTATTTGATAATTTCTTGAAACTGGTGGATTTTTCATAATGCCATATAAATGAGGCTTAACTATAATAGAATTGATAAAAGTATCCACTTTTGGAACATTATAGAGCATAGAGTGAGTTTACAGGCTTTGCAGGCAAATCATCCTGAATTTAAATCCCGGTTCTAATACTGTTCAGTTACTGGAAACCTTGGGTTTCTTGACTTCTCATGTCCTCATCTTCTGAGATAGATGTAGAAGATGCCTACCTCCGAGGTGAACGCCAAGATTCAAGGAAATGGTGTGCGGCACAGTGGCACACCAACGGCATTTGAGCTGTAGAGATGGTAGCCACTGTTAAGATTTTAAGGAAATACACCGGATCATTGTAACTTTCTATGTGAGAACAGCTGAACATGTGTGTGACACATTCAGATGTATAATAAAATAGCATGTATGTATACCGTATAATACATAGAATTGCTATACATCCCACAGTTTACATTCTTCCGAGCAGTGTCACGTGGGTGCACATTGAGTCTTCCAAAGACCTTGTGGGTAGACTGGTATTGAGCACTTAGCAGTGGTTTTTGTATTTACCCAGGTTTCATGAAGTATTATTTTAGAAATGCATGAAGAGTCTTTATGACAGTGGATTTGTTCCTCAAAGAAGTAACCCTCATTCTAAAGGAATTAAAGAATTTGAAGTTGAAACAAAGTCACTGATGGAACCCCACTTTGTAACCTCACTCATGAAGAAATTACCACGTTATATAACTGTACGTTTTGAATCTTCCTAACAGAATATAGGCAGTCTCCATATTTAGATGTTAACATGTTCCCAACGATCAGACATTGCCTGGAACTGAAGCTAAAATTAGGACACAAAAGTAACCCATAAAAGCCCGTAGCAGGTGCTCAGTAAATATGATTTAATACTGCAAAGGAGTTATTTCTTATTGGAGTTGTTTGTAATTTTGACACTTTGAAACCCCCTTATTGCAATTCAGTTACCACAGCTATTGCATTAATTTGCAACAACCAGTGCCTACCAAATGGTTAAGTAAATATTTCAGCCTACCTATTTAATTAAAAAAAATTGACATATTAACTTTTAAGTCATTTTCTCTGTCCTTTTTAAGCAAGTCTGTTTATGGTCTTCTGCTTCTCTGAATTGATCAGAGCATACGATGAAACAATGGAAGACCACCATGCTGTTCTTCCCTAACATGTGAGGAGAGGGGCTGTGTCATGGGCAGCTTTGTGGGCCCAACTGTGCCCTGCTTTTCTGTACCTTTTCCCCTAAGGCAGAGGTTCTGAGACGGCAGGAAGGAGACGCCTCAGAGAAGCCGACCCACCAGTTGGTGTGGAAACCAGAAGCTTGCAGCTCTCCCTTTGCATATAGCAGGAATAGATTTTGTGTTACTTGTTTTTCTGATTAATTTCCTCTGGGAAGTGCCAAGTTTTGAAATTTCTCCTCAATCAACTGTTCAGCTTAGACGCAGCCTTATCCATTTTTCTTCTATTGGTCATCCCTCACCACCAGTAAAAATCAGAATTGGAGCCTGTACTCCCTCAGGTTTATCAGCCCGTAAACAATCCAGCCTTGTCATCTCTCCCAGCAGCTGAAGAACCTCCTGTTTTGCAGAGCCATTTTTGGAATTCTACTGATAGCAAAAATGGTTCAGTGTTGCTGATGGAGAAATGAATTTGAATAAACACTTCTGACGTGGTTTGTTCTAATGTTCCTTGCCTTGCTGCATTTTGAAGATTGTGTGTGCATCCATATATAAGAATGAATTTGAAACTAGGACTAAGTCTCTGCTCAGTGAGTCATTCCCTGTGCTTGCTTCATCATCAAAAAAGGAATGGGCCAATTAAAGTATGGGATTGGTGGCCAAGAGCAGACTTCCCCCAATGTCCTTCACACAGTGGCCTCGTGTCTCAAGAGTGTGTGTGTTCACACCGTGCTCTTGGAGTCTCACATTAAACAGCTACTGTATGTTACTTTGAAAAATGGGTTACAATTTTTGATTTTGATATTTTTTATTGTCCAGTAGCTGGATATCAAGTCCGATCCAAGTGGCTGCCCCAGTCCCTTTTTCAGGAGCACCGGGGCATTGCTATGAGCAAATAATCATAGCACGGCTTGGCATTGTTGGCCAGCTGTATCCTAAGTGCAAGGTCCTGAGTTCGATCCCTGATAAAAAGTTACTGGAGCATTGGAAATGTATGTATTTTCTTCTGAGATCTCTTGGCAATTACCACATTTGCTTATTAGAAATGTGGTGGCACATACCTGTAATCTCAGCACTTTGGAAGGATGAGGCAGGAGGATCACTGGAAATTCATGGTCAGGTTGAGGTACAGAATGAGTTCAAGAACAACCTGAACTGCATGGTGAAACTCTTATCTTAAAAGAATAGAAACAAGATGCTTCAGATTGCACCTGGCTCTACCCACCTGGAATACAGCAAGTCCTAGTAGTCCCTCATGCTAAAAGGTTCTGTTAAATGAGGGGCTGTCAAGTTTAGCTTTGTCAGTTTCAAGGTGAATCCACGTCTGCTCTCGACTTCAGTCCCCTCATCTATAAATAGGGAAGTGTATTCTGAGAACTATGCAGGACAAGGTATGTCAGGCATTTAGCATGGTTTCTGGTAGGAACTATGTGTTAAAGGGTTGTGGTTATTACCATAA